TTTGACAGCCCTTTTGTGCGTTATTGTGGTTCTTCACAGCAATATTTATGTGGTGTGATGGAAAGTGTTCTAAGCCTTGGATTAATGAAGGATTCCTTGGAATCACTTCGACTCACGTTTCATGTGAGTATAGCATTGCGCGGCTGCATTCACAGGCAATTTAGTTTCCAGTCGAGTTTTTTATGGCATAGAGTGACTGTCCAATACAGGACGAGTACGAGTTTTTGCCATCGTCCAACTCAAGTATTCATATATTCATTCGTCCAATCATTTATCTGTTGATTTATTCGCTTTTCTATCCATGCATTCACTTATTTGTTTATTCATTTCTTTATTCATTCATTCAATACATCATTCATCCATTCGTCAATCTGATTATTAATCATTCAGTCATCCATCCATTCACTTTTTTATTCATTCATTCTTAGCTCCATTCATTAGGTTACCTTGTTTTTCTCATAGACCCGCATGGAGCGTCTTTGTGAAGCAATTACTAAGAATTTGTCGCAGTGTTCATTCAGGAAGCCAAAGGTACATTAGATGTAAAAATATATATCATAAAACTCCGTGTACTAGACAAACATGTCTATTTTGTTATACACCAAAGCATCTCATCTTCTATTTGCTTGACATTTTTTTTTTCTAGGGTGGATTTTTTCTTTGGATTGCATTACCATCSTCGATTGATTCTGAAGGTGATTGCTATTTTTAAGCATTTTCGTAACATTTATTCTATGATAGGGTCATGTTGTGAATTGTAAATTACAAGTTTTTACTGCGTATTGCCGTTTTTGTTTTTTCGTTTGTTTATTTGTTTATTATTATTATTATTTTTTGTTGTAGACATCAGCATCCTCCATGTCACCTTTGAAAATTTCTTTCTGAAAACATACACATCTTAAGAGTGTTGATTTTGTATTTTRACAGAGCTGCTCAAGATTTGTAAAGAGAAATACCAGGTAGACTTTCTTCCTGGACATATGTTTTCATGTGGTTCAAAAAARTTCAAGAATCAATTGAGATTGAGTATGTCTCGATATGGTGACCAAACACTTATTGAGGCAGTCACAAGACTAGGCAAAGCCTTAAATGAACTACAACAAGAAACAAAGAAKCAATGACAGACAGCAAACACAATTCCTGGTTTTTATTGACTGGTTTGTACTAGTGGAAATCTCTTTTATCCACTGGAGAACAATTTTACAATTTTACTATYGGTGGAAAACTGATTTTGGTATAGCCTAGAACTAGTTTTACAAGTGAAAAACAGAAGCACATATGTACTTCTGGTGAAAAACTTTTACGATTTGAAGTCGAGACGTCTTTTTTCGTTTTCATTTTTTTTTTCTTGTCAAGTAGAGAAGAGAATAAGTTGTACTGTTCAGGAAGGTTATCGGCTTTGGCATTCCTCAGAGTAAAAAGGTAGTGACCACAGATAACAAAAGTATCACAGCAGCTGAAATTGCAATGAACATTTATCGCTAATTATAAACAATTGAAGTGTCCACTACGACAATTTAGCGAAACACAGTGAAAAATGAATAGTGAGGTTTTAAACTGCAATTSCAAGAATGCTCCTCCAACTTTTCCTTGTATTAGTGCCTATTGGTTTACAAGTATTTACGTCAAGTATTTAAAGTAAAGCTTTACTGTACCTGTAGCTTTTCTATCTTTAGCTCTGCTACAAGGTTGAGGTGCTGCTACTCGTAGGGCACTGGGAACGAASGTATTCCAATAYCCTACGTAATCAGCACGAAGGTGACTGTTGACCGCCATGTTSGRTTTCAGTGATATGTATTTCTGTTGCTCCACGGTGTATTCAGGCCAAGTAASGCCAACACTATTTGGAGCGTTTGGATTTCTAAAGAAAAGAGTTTAAGCATTAGAATTTATTGTTGGGGCCGGTTCTAACGATCAAGAATCAGGGGCGGATCCAGCATTTTGTAAGGGGGGGCTGCTTTTGTCAGCGCGTGTACACTTAGGGAATGTCCCTAGACAGTCCGCGAGGGGACTTGGGAATGGAAGAGACACTAGTAAACTATGCTGTATGCACTGGTATACTGGAGATCTTGGGACTGTCCCATGAGGACAGGGGATACCATAGGCCAGTCCTGGACATGTGTATGTTTCTTTTGCCTACCCTGATTTTGCGAAGTTCGACCAATATTTAATGATTTCGCGAGAAAAATTTGCTTCCGTTGTCGTTGAAGAGTTCAACAACGGAGAACCAAAGACAAATGGCACGTCTGCAATGTGGTTTGCCTTTACCCATGATGGGACTTTGAAACCAAACAAAAKTTCAATGCGTTGTTCAAAAGAGTACAAATATGTCTTTGCTTTCTTCGACTTGGAATGTGCGTTTGCACTTGTAATGCAAGGCACCACAAATCCTATGTCTCCCTGGAAATCTATAAACATACGGCGATTCGTGATTGGGCTTGAGATGTTGGTGTAGTCAGTGTACTGATGGATAGTGGCATCTATCAAGACTGGATCTGGCATTTCTGCAGCATATGCTCCTCCTTTAAGCCATTTKAGGAATGTCTCTCTCGAAACACCGTTCGTTACATTGAAGGAGGCGGAATCAGCTTCAGAACCTGTGTGTAGGGAAAAATAATAATAATTGCATCGTGTTACACACTGGATTGCGTTAATCGCAAGCTTTTCTTTTCCGTTATTTTCTAAGCRTTCACAGCAAAATTGTTTGCACTACATTCAACACAATCAAAGAACGTGACCAAACGGTGAACGTTTTATTGGTTTCCCAACATTCTTTGGCGGAGTTATTCTTGGAGGGTCTTGTTGGGAGGTCGAAACTTTTTCGTTTGCAGAATAGGGACTTCAAAACTCTGCACACGAAAATAGATTATGATGTAACGAACAGAAACTCGAATTCCTGGACAAATACCCCCAAGGGTGTTGGTAAAGACGGTTCCTTCGTCGTTTGTTACTCCCATCATAACGTTGCGTTTCTCAAAGTCTTGGTTTTTATAAAGCACTATTGGTTTATCTACACAAAGCAAAACAAAAACAAGAATCAAACCCTTGCAAGAACACAAACTATCGAAAACGTTTATTGTTTTCAAAGGCTAATATGTAACACTCATATATTATGGGATTTGAATGGTCCTAAAAATGGGGCGTTTACCGGATAGGAGACAATAGTAGAAAATAAGAAAAATGGGAGAGTCAGGCGTATGAGGATCCATTTTGAGCTGATATGATGGCCCAAGGCACATATGTTATTTACCGGGTGGGAGGTCCGTATAGGAAAACACTGCCTGAGGTCTTGACAGTACGGAACGAGCGCAGCGAGGTCCGCGTACATAAAAGACCGAGGGCAGAGTGTTTTCATATACGGACCGACCTATAGCCGGTAAATAACATTTTTATTTATTTTTTTATTTGTATTTTATGCAACTTTGCTCGCAGCCTAGCTGCAGGATACCGTCGGACCGAGCAGATCGTGAAAAACCGGACTGCGCGCTAGCCAATCACAGCTCGCGAATGACTAGGATACCGGACCGAAAAAACAATATATGTAATAACCCTTCAGCCACGCCCAATTGAGTTCATGGTTCAAGATCGCTGCAGGTAGAGAAAAATTATGGTCTGCAGTTCACTAATAATGATGATTGTCTATCGGTTTTGGTCTCATTAAACATCCATGCAGCAAATGCCACATACACTGGTGACTATAATAATGCCTACCTTGAAGGAAATGGTTATCCACAACGGGAATAAAACCAGGAAATAAACCTGTGTAAGAAGCATTTATGATTTCCATGAAGGTTTTTCCTTTCAAGCACTCCTTTAATTTTCTCGTATCTGGACATCCAACAAGCTTAGCAAACGTCCTTGGAAACAAAATAAACAAAAAATGTAAAATATTTAGAAGAGTGAGTTTTAGTGTCGATTTTAGTGCTGTGATAATTAGTCGGACTAGCCGAAGCCTAGGTCGACTTTAGTTTTACCTTTTAGCCAATCAATCTATCTATCTATCTATCTATCTATGTATTATGTCGCGTTTGGACCACCGGAAGTTAAGAATTTAATAATTAACTATTGGGTTGGCTGTGTTATTACATGACCGGAAGCTCAAGCGTATTGATGTACGAATATCGTTAGTAAATGTTATATGCTACTTGGCTTTTATATGACAAAAAAACTATTCGTTTACAAATGTGGTATCTGTGATCTCATCGGAATGCATCTGTCTAGGCATTAGAAGTACGCGCATGTGCAGATCGCATAGAGTTTCGAGTTGTATGCTTACAAAACTGAATCAATATCCTTTCTAGTGTTAGACAGTCTTGTGGGGCAAAGATTTCAAATTAGAACAAGAAGAAACTTTGTTTATCAATAACAGAAAGGCGACTTTGATTATTTTATAGGCATCTTTTTAAAAGTATTTATTTTCTTGGCCTGAGAGGTCAACAATTTGAATTAAAAATGTATTAGATATGATATCATTTAGTCACACGTCAAAATTTAGATTTCTATCGTTTTGAAGTCGTTGCAGAGAGCAGTCGAAAAGAATATCGTATCGTGGAATAAACGGTCACGCATTCTTGCTTTCACTATGTATTAGAAGTAAAAAAATATATAATATTCTACGCCATGATATACATTCAAAAATAGCTAGTCCGACTTCACGCTCCAATAGCGTCTAGTTTTTACTATTTCATGAGCTGGGTTAAATTGTCAAAACAGGTACGTGTGTTCCAATATTGAAGCTCTTGAAAGAGGAGAATCGTTACATTACAGTATTTCAGTACTATATTATCATTTACAGTAAATTTTGTTCGTTTATAAAACAGACCGATCTAGAAAGTGATTTTGGTTGCAATTTCTTGAGCCCCACAATCGCAACTTACTACTAACTCTGACTTACGTCATTGGTTTACTAAGGCTTTCGTAAGTTCCTGTCGCCCAAAATGCTGCTGCATCGCCAGATTGTGAAATAGCACGGTGAAAAAGTCCCTTGGTAAGCTTTGATAACAACAGCAAAGATACACTGGCACCCCCAGCAGACTCACCAAATATGGTAACTTGATTGGGGTCACCATTAAATCTGAAATTAACATATGCATAACAACATTTCCACATTTAGTAATATTTTTCATGGCCTAAACTTTCATTTTAAACCAAAATTCCAGAACCCTTATACACTTCAAATGTACATCCTTTGCAGCATTTAATGTCAACCAAAATTTTAAACTAGATAGCATGAGTTCATACAACAACACAGTGGATAGGGTTACGCGATTTGAAATGATACAACGACAAAGCCGTGTTCAATTTGTTTGTTTTTT